GCTGCTGCTGCTGCTGCTGCTGCTGCTGCTGCTGCTACTACTGTTCCTGCTGCTGCTGCTGCTGCTGCTGCTGCTGCTGCTGGTTTGTGTCTGACCTGTCTAGTGTTGCTCCTTCTCTATCCATTTTTGTGGCGACGACAACAAAGAGGAGGTGTTGCTGTTGTATTATTTTTATGCATTCTTCTGTTTGCTGCTTCACTCCTTCATCAGCAGCAACAACCAACAGAGCTATATCTGTTGCTGCTGCTCCCCGCCGACGCATAGAAGCAAATGCTGCGTGCCCTGGGGTGTCTACGCACGTCACATGCTGCTGCTGCTGCTGCTGCTGCTCCTGCTGCTGCTGCAGAGACGCGAGGGCGAAGCTGCTGCTGCTCACCGTCTGGGTAATGCCCCCAGCCTCTGTAGCAGCAACAGATGATCTGAGAGCAGCAGCAGCAGCAAACAGCAGCAGCAGCAGCAGCAGCAGCAGCAAACAGCAGCAGCAGCAGCCGCAGCAGCAGCAAGCAGTAGCAACAGCAAACAGCAGCAGCGGCAGCAGCAGCAAGCAGCAGCAGCAAAAGGAAGAGGAAATACATTAAATAAAATAGAAAATATAAATAAAATAGATGCAGAAGAGATATATATCTATATATACATATCAGCAACGACAACAGCAGCAGCAGCAGCAGCAGCAGCAGCAGCAGCAGCAGCAGCAGCAGCAGCAGCATACTTGCGTAGCGCATCGAGCAGCGTTGTCTTTCCGTGGTCTACATGCCCCAGAACAGTAATAACAGGTGGAGCTCTCAACTGCTGCTGCTGCTGCTGCTGCTGCTGCTGCTGCAGTGTATTTGTTCTGCTGCTGAGCCTGAGACGATGGAGACAGTTTAGCTCATCACTAATAAACTCTGCTTCTTCTTCGCTTATCTTTGTATCGAGGGTAACGGGGGGCCCCCCGGGGGCCCCCAGCAGGGTCCTAGATAGCGCCAGTACCCTTTCTGCTGCTTGCTGCAGATGCCGAGCCAAACCACCAACTGTTATGTTGTTGCACTGCAGCACATCTGCTGCTGCTGCTGCTGCTGCTGCTGCTGCTTTGTTGTTCTTGCCTCGCCGCAGCTCCTTGGGGCCCCCAGGGGCCCCCACACCCCCTGAAGACAGCAGAGCAGACAAAGGCCTTGCGGCAGCAGAAGCGGCAGCAGCAGCAGCAGCTGCTGCTGCTGCTGCTGAGGATAGACTTTCTTGCTGCTGCTGCTGCTGCTGCTGCTGCTGCTGTTCTGCGACCTCCAGCAGCAGCTGACGCCTTCGTTCTGCAGCGTGACTACTGAGGGAAGCTAAGTAGGCATCGGCATCGCTCCCTGCTGCTGCTGCTGCTGCTTCTGCTGCTGCTGCTTCTGCTGCTGCTGCTGCTGCTGTTGTTGTTCCATCTCCTCCGCTTGTCTTGGCTGCCTCCTCTTTCTCCGTTGCGGTTGCCTGCGGCATCTGCTGCTGCAGCAACTGCTGCTGCTGCTGCTGCTGCTGCTGCTGCTGCAGCTGCTGCAGCTGCTGCAGCTGCTGGCGCAGCGCAGCAGCATCGTCCAGTAGTATTGCTGTTAGGGTTTGTATGCGGGGGAGGCTGAGGCCCTCTTTCTCCTGTGTCTCTTCTGCTGCTCGCTGCAGCAGGTCCGCGAGTGCAGCAGCAATCTGCTGCTGCTGCTGTTCCTGCTGCTGCGCGGGATAGAGCGGCTCCTCTTGCTGCTGCTGCTGCTGCAGCGGCGGCTCAGCAGCAGCAGCAGCAGCAGCAGCAAGCTGCTGCTGCTGCGCCAGCCACTCCCTCAGAGCAAAGAGACACGGCGTCCCTATCCTGCGTGAGACAAGCTTCACCTGTGGAGCAGATGCTGCTGCTGCTGCTGCTGTTGTTGCTGCTGTTGCTGCTGTTGCTGCTGCTGCTGTGGGCCCCCCCAGCTGCTTTGCTGCCTGCTGCTGCATCCGCTGCAGCTGCTGCTGCAGCAGCTGCCTCCCCGCATGCAGCTGTATCTTCTTCACCGCCCACCGCACCCAGGACAGGTGGCTCAGCAGCTCCTCCCCCAGTTCCTTGCTGCTTCTGTCTGCTGCTGCTTCTGCTGCTGCTCTTGCTGCTGCTACTGCTGCTGCTGCTGCTGCGGGAGCAGCAGCAGCAACTGGTGCGCTTTGAGACACACGAGGGGCCCCCTGCAGCAAACTCTCCTCTAGGGCCCCCAGTGCTGACTGCAGCAGAGCAGCTGGGTGCTGCTGCTGCAGTTCTTCTGCTGCTGCTGCTGCTCCTGTTCCTGCTGCTGTTGCTGCTGCTGCTGCTGCTGCTGCACCTGCATTGCTGCTGCTGCATGCAGCAAAGGAAGACGGCTCCCCTACAGCCTCGTATTGGCGCATCGCCCGAGCAACTGCTTCTATTCTTTCTTGCTGCTGCTGCTGCTGCTGTTGCAGCAGCAGTTGCTGCTGCAGCAGCAGTTGTTGCTGTTGCTGCTGAGCAGCAGTTCTATCAAATGTTCTTCTCGATATCCCACCCGCTGTTGATGCTGCTTCTGCTGCTGCTGCTGTTGCTGCTGCTGTTGCTGCTGCTGCTGCTGCTGCAGCAGCTGCTGCTTCGTCAGATGCCTGCTGCCGCAGCAGCTGCAGAGCTGTCTGTACAGCCGGCTGCTGCAGATGTGTAGGGCTCTGCCACCAAGACAGGGGGTTTCTAGCTGCAGCAGCAGCAGCATTCTGCTGCTGTTGCTGCTGCTGCTGCTGCTGCTGCTGAAGCTGCTGCACTGCCTGCTGCAGCCTCGCGCTGAGACCCGCTGCCTCGCTGTTCGGCAGCGGCTGGATTTGCTGCTGCAGCGCCGCAGCAGCAGCAGCGTCTGCTGCTGCTTCTTCTACCTGCTGCTGCTGCTGCTGCTGCTGCTGCTGCTGCTGCTGCGATGGCGGCATCAGCGAGCTCCGCATGCCGACTGCAGCAGCAGCAGCAGCAGCAGATCCGCGTAGTGAAGGCCTCAGGTGTCCTTGGGCGTTTATGCTTGTGCTGCTGCTGTTTCTGCTGCTGTTTCTGCTGCTGCTGCTGTTGCTGCTGCTGCTGCTGCTGCTGCTGCTGCTGCTGGGGTCGTCGTTAGTGTGCCTGTTGCTGCACCACGAACCGGTATCGAGTATTTCTGCATGCAGTCTTCTGGGTGTTGCTGCTGCTGCTGCTGTTGTTGCTGCTGCTGCTTCTGGAGGCAGCTGCGGGCGCAGCAGCTGCAGCGAAGCTGCGGGTGGCCGCAGCAGCACATCTGCTGCAGCAGCAGCAGAAATGTAATGAGGACCCAAATAAACACAACCCCACCCTTGGCGCTCCGCCTGTGAGACAGGAGAGCTGCTGGGGCCCCTCTCTCCTGCTGCTGCTGCTGTTGGTGCTGCTGGTGCTGGTGCTGCTGGTGCTGGTGCTGCTGGTGCTGCTGGTGCTGGTGCTGCTGGTGCTGCTGGTGCTGGTGCTGCTGGTGCTGCTGCTGCTGGTGCTGCGGCTGGTGCTGCTGCTGATGCTGCATCTGGTGGTGTTGCTGCTGCTGCAGCAGATTCACGAGGCACAGCCGCTTCCTGTACAGCAGCAGCAGCAGCAGCAGCAGCAGCAGGAGCTGCAGCATTTGCTTCTGCTGCTGCTGCCGCAGGAAGCGGACCGGCAGCTGCAGAACTAGAGAGTACAACAGCTGGATGCTGCTGCTCCTTTTGCTGCTGCTGCTCCTGCTGAGGCTGCTGCTGCTCCTGCTGCTGCTGCGGCTGCTGCTGCTGCTGCTCCTGCTGCTGCTGCTGCGCCTGCTGCTGCTGCTGCTGCTGGGTGGGTTTTGGTGCTGTAGGAGAGGGAAAGAAGCGCCCTAGCAATCGACTTAGGGCCGAAGCATGTCGTCTCCCCTCAGCTGAACAGCCAAGGGGGGCCCCTGTTCCTGCTGCTGCTGCTGCTGCTGCTGCTGCTGATGCTGCTGCTGTTGTTGCTGCTGCTGCTGCTGCTGCTGCAGGAGCAAGTGAAGCAGCAGCAGCAGTAGCAGCAGCAGGAGCAGCAGCAGTAGCAGCAGCAGGAATTCTTAGAGGAGCAGTGACAGTACAGCCCCCTGGCGCTGCTGCTGTAGGGGGCAGGTGGGGGCCCCCGAAGGGCCCCTGGGGGCCCCCCAGGAGGGGCCCCCTGCAGCGAGCTGCACAGGGTAGCAGCAGCCGCTGCTGCTGCATGCTGAACTAGCTGCTGGTCCTCACAGAAGGCTGGGAGGTGTTTGGGGTGTATAGGCAGCTTGGGGTGTATAGGCAGCTCGGGGTGTACATACACCTGCAGTTTATAGGCCCTGAGGGGGCTGGTGCGTTCATTGTTTATTAAGGTAAACAGATATTTATAATCATTTATTTATATTTTATTGATTAAAATATAATTATTTTTATGTTTATTTATTAAAAATAACAAACAAACGCAAAAAACAAGCAGAAGAACAACCAAAGAAAACCCCCTATAAGCGGTGCTGCTGTTGCTGCAGCAACAGCAACAGCAACACCTGCTGCTGCTGTATTTCTCTCCTTTACTCTTAAAAAAACAAAACCCTCACAGCACTCAAACTAAACCCCTCCAGATCCCGAGGGTTTAGGGTTTAGGGTTTAGGGTTTAGGGTTTAGGGTTTGAAGGGGGCCCCAGGAGGGGCCCCTTGTGGGGCCTCCCCAAAACAAACAAAGAACGAAAACTAAAGAAAATAAGAGCAAATAGAGAAAAAAATAAACAACAAATACAATTTTATATATATTTATAAATAAGAAGAGGAGAAATGAATAGTAAATACATTTATAATACATATATATGTGTATATAGAGAGAGAGACAAAAAGACGAGAAATAAACAATCAATAGTTATATATATATGTATAGATATGCGCATATTTATCGAAGAATCAAAGAGATATATATATATATATATATATATATATATATATATATATATATATATATATATTTATATATACGTACATCTACACATATACATGTGTGGCTGCATACATATCTCAATATATATGTGAACGTCCTGCTGC